CCACCACCAACCACCCACCACCCACAACCCCCACCACCACAACAACCACCCACCACCACCACCACAACCCACCACCACAACCAACCACAACCACCACCACCACAAACACCACAACCACCACCACAACCACCACAACCACCCCACCACAACCCCACCACCACATACCACCACACACCACACCACAACCACCACCACAACCAACCACCCACCACCACAACCCACCCCCCAACAACCACCAGCAACCACCACACCACAACCCACCACCACACCACAACCACCAACACCCCACCATCCACCACACACACAACCACCACCACCACCACAAACCACCACCACAACCACCACCACAACCTACACCACCACCCCACAAACACCACAACCACCACCACCACCACCACAACCACCACCACCACAACCACCCCCACAACACAACACACAACACCGCCACAATCCCCCACACCACCATCACCAACCCACACACAACCACAACCACACCAAACCACCACCACAACCACCAACACCACCACAACCACCACCACAACCACCACAACCACAACCACCACAACCAACACCACCACAACCACCACCACCACACAACCAACACCACCACAACCACCACCACCACAACCACCACCACAACCACCACCACCACAACCACCACAACACCACAACCACCACAACCACCACCACAACCACCACCACCACAACCACCACCACAACCACCACCACCACAACCACCACAAACCCCCCCACCACAACACACCACAAACCACCACCACACCCCACACCACCACCACAACCACCAACACCACCACAACCACCACCACCAACCACCACCACCACAACCACCACCACCACAACCACCAAGACCACCACAACCACCACCGCAACCACCACAACCACCACCACCACCACAAACACCCCAACCACCACCACCACCACCACAACACCACCACCACAACCACCCCACAACCACCACCACCACCACCACAACCACCACCACCACAACCACCACACACCACAACCACCACACCAACACCACACCACCACCACCACACAACCACCACACCACCACAACCACCACCATCCACAACCACCACAATCACCACCACAACCACCACCACAACCACCACAACCACCACCACAACCACCACAAACACCACCACAACCACCACACCAACCACCACAACCACCACCACCACCACCACAAACACCACCACCAACCACCACAACCACCACCACCCACAACACCACCAACCACAACCACCACCACAACCACCCACCACCACCCCACCACAACCACCACCACAACCACCACAACCACCACCACCACACCACCACAACCAACCACACCACAACACCACCACCAACCACCACCACAACCACCACCACCACAACCACCACCACCACAGCCACCACCACCACAACACCACCACACAACCACCACCACCACAACCACCAACACCACCACAACCACCACCACCACAACCACCACCACAACCACCACCACAACCACCTACCACCACCACAAACACCACAACCACCACCACACACCACCACAACCACCACCACCACAACCACCACCACAACACCAACCACCACCACAACCACCACCACCACAACCACCACCACCAACCACCACCACCACCACCCACAACCACCACAATCACACCACCACAACCACCACCACAACCACCACCACCACCACCACACCACCACAACCACCACACCACAACCACCACCACCACAACCACCACCACACACACCACCAACCAACCACACAACCACCACCACAACCACCACAACCACCACCACCACCACAACCACCACCACCACAACCACCACCACCACAACCACAACCACCACCACAACCACACCACCACCACCACAACCACCACCACAACCCCACCACCACAACCACACCACCACCACCACCACCACCACAACCACCACCACCACAACCACCACACCACCACCACAACCACCACACCACCACCAACACCACCACAACCACCACCACCACCACCACCACCACAACCACCACCACAACCACCACAACCACCACCACAACCACCACAACCACCACCACCACCACCACCACAACCACCACCACCACCACAACCACCACCATCACAACCACCAGCCAAGTGCTGTGAACATAAAGAGGCAAAGGTGCAGATCTACAGTTCCTTGCTCGTGCCACTGCTGGCAGAAGGACCTCCACTAGAGGGAGCTCGAGACAACCTCAGAAGATACTCGTAGTTCTTTCGGTAAAGTCACCAAGTAGGTAGAACATGAAATTAAAATTTATAAAAATATTGTTTTATTTTTATTAATTTTTATTTCATTTTTTTACCTAAATTGACTTTAAAATTAATAAAAATATTGTTTTAGTTTTATTAATTTTAACTTCATTTGTTACCTACGTGACTTTAAAATTAATAAAAATATTGTTTTATTTTTATTAATTTTGATTTCATTTTTTACCTACTTGACTTGAAAATTAATACAAATATTGTTTTATTTTTATTAATTTTTATTTCATTTTTTACCTACGTGACTTTAAAATTAATAAAAATATTGTTTTATTTTTATTAATTTTAATTTCATTGTTTTCCTACGTGACTTTACCAAAAGAACCAAGAGTATGAATCCTTGCAGTCACGAAAGCTTCAAATCTAGAACCTCAGTAGAGGCTGACTCTTCCACTCCGCCCAGACGTCTTGGAAGAGACGGCAGTACCCACACTTTACCCCACCACATACTGCAGAGTAGACAGAGGTGGCACATTTTAGACATGTGCCTATTAAACCTGCCACGCCTGGAGATAACAACCTGCTGACCATTGCACCATGGCAGCAAGCTTCATGAAACTAAATAAATTAGTATTAAATTTCGATTTAAAGCTTCTTTCGTGACTGCAGGGATTCATCTTCTTGGTTCTTTCGGTAAAGTCACGTAGAAGGGAAGTAATAAAATAATAAAAATAAAACATAATAAAAATAAAACATAATTAAATACAATTCTCACGACGTTTCGGCCACAACGCAAGCAGCCGTCCTCAGGTGAAGAACAGGTCTGTCGGGAAGACAGCGTCTGAATGAAACACCTGTTCTTCACCTGAGGACGGCTGCTTGCGTTGTGGCCGAAACGTGGTGAGAATTATATTATTAAGTTTTATTTTATTATTTTATTATTTCCCTTCTACGTGGTGACTTTACCGAAAGAACCAAGAAGATAAATTAGTATTTCCCCAGAATGACTGTGTTGTTAATCTGAAATAACGACGCGCGTGTGTGGACATGTTTCAATGTGACAAGTGTGTTGAATGAAACACCTGTTCTTCACCTGAGGACGGCTGCTTGCGTTGTGGCCGAAACGTCGTGAGAATTATTTTATGTTTTATTTTTATTATTTTATTATTTCCCTTCTACGTGGTGACTTTACCGAAAGAACCAAGAAGATAAATTAGTATTTCCCCAGAAGGACTGTGTTGTTAATCTGAAATAACGATGCGCGTGTGTGGACGTGTTTCAATGTGACAAGTGTGTGGTCTCGCCTCTCGCCCATCAAGCAGCAGCGCGCTCTGCGAAGGTTGATGCTGTTCACTGGTCGTTGCTTGAGCTACGAACAACATTTTTCACACAATTAAGGCAAGTGCATCGTTCATAAGAGCACTGCACGAGATGTACATCATATTTCGATTTAAAGCAGGGATTCATCTTCTTTTCCAAGAATGACTGTATTGTTAAAAATGACTGTCTCGTACCGCATCCGTGAACATAAACAAAAAGCAGTGAGAATGATTTTATTGTTTTATTTTTATTATTTTATTATTTCCCTTCTACGTGACTTTACCGAAAGAACCAATAAGATGAGATGTACATTGTACACGTTTACACATATTGCTTTTGAGAACTTTCCAACTGTTAAGGGCTCAGCTCCGCCGGGGTGTAAGATGAGTATCATGAACATGAATAAATCTTCAATAAAAGTGCGTTTTGATATAAGGGACTTGCCCCGTAGAACATCAGCGAACTGACCCAAAAGTGTTTCCAAAACTTGGGAGACAAAAGCCAGTGTTAAAGGAACCCACCAACGAAACGAAACTAAACTTTTTATTTCGATTTAAAGCTTTCGTGACTGCAGGGATTCATCTTCTTGGTTCTTTCGGTAAAGTCACGTAGAAGGGAAATAAAACATAATAAAATAATTGCTATGTTTTATTTTTATTATTTTATTATTTTTCTTTTACTAAATAATAAAAATAAAACATAATAAAATAATTGTTATTATTTAAATTGCATTATTTTATTATTTCCCTTCTACTAAATAATAAAAATAAAACATAATAAAATAATTATGTTATTATTTTTATTTTATTATTTCCCTTCTACAAAATAATAAAAATAAAACATAATAAAATAATTGTTATGTTTAAATTGTATTATTTTATTATTTCCCTTCTACCAAATAATAAAAATAAAACATAATAAAATAATGATGTTATGTTGTATATTTTATTATTTTATTATTTCCCTTCTACGTGCCTTTACCGAAAGAACCAAGAAGATAAACTCTTTATTTTACCACGTGAGAGCCCACGCGACTACGTAGCTATTTCTCAGAAGCCACCTGGCCACACTTTGTTGACAGCTCAACAAAGTGGTCCATCACGTGCCAATTCACATCAGCCAAATTACTCTTCGACGCACGTTTCCAACCGTGGATTGTCCGCGCGTGTATCGGGGCAACTGCTACCATCATTACCGTCAATAGCTAAACAAAGCACCGTCCCGTACTTTCTGGCGTCAAACGCCGGTTGAATTCGTGCTCAAGATGAATGTGGACATCAAAGAAGTGGGATCTCGTTTCGAGAAGAAAAATTAGCGGCGCGATTCGTTTACAGACAAGACCAGGCGACACACGGCGATGACCTCCAGATGAAACGAAAACCTTGACCTTGCCAGCGTCACTTGACCATGCCCCAGTTGACTGACCTTCAAATAGTGTCCTCTGAGCTTGACCTTGCTGCACCTGCCCAGTTTCACCGCTGCCTTGTCCGCGTTGATCCCTTCCACGACCCACTTGACCTTGTCCCTGTCGACCCAAAGTGTGACCTAACTGCAGCTGGACTTTGCCCAGCGGACAGCGAGATTGCCTTGGCTGACTCAGGCCCTGACGAGGTAGACCTCGGCCTTGCCCCACCAGAACACGCACGTCACCTGACAGTCCCGGGCTCGGCCCGGGTTGACGTTGACCCTCTTTTGGCCGAGTCTGAGCTAGACCCAATTGGGTTGTTTTTGTTCCGTTGCGATCTGTCCCCTGCCCCGGCTGCTCATGTCCTTTAATTGCCTCTCCGTTGGCTTCTCCCGACCGACCCTGCTGCCCTTTGCTACCCAAACCTTCATTCGATGGCCCCTGGATTTTCCCAGACTGACCTTCATCTTGTCCCGTCTGGCTGCACCCGTGAGCCAATATCTTCTGGAACGGCCTCACTTGTCCCCGACCTTTGCCCGGCTGACCCTGGCCACGGTGTGACGGCCCCTGGCCCTGCCTAGATTGACGGTGACCTTGTTCCGGCTTCCCCTCACTCTCGTAAAGACTGCCCAAGATGCTCTTTATGTCGAAGGCGGGGGGGAGTGTGGGGAAAGTGCCGTCCCAATTTCTACCGAGGGTTTCACTATCGTTGCCCTCCATGCTGCGTCCTTTGTAAACTCCTTAGACAGCCGTCTTCCTGTATGACGCACAGGCACCGCACGTGCGCACGAGACAAAACAAATGTGGAATGTGTTAAGACAGTGCTACTGCGTAGCGAACCGTGCGGCACCAGCGTCGTGACCTCTTCGCAAAGATTATCTTTTTTCTCTCTCTCTGGGTTTTTTGTTTTCTCGCTCTGCCTGTGTCCTCTCTTTGGAATTTTCACACTTAAATTCTAACTTAGCAATCTTTGAAATACGTAATCAACCGGGCTATGCGTTCATTGTGTGTTGACCGACTCTCTGTGTTGCATTACATTACATTTCGATATTTTGCTAGGTTATCTAATTTGAGTGTGTCTTTCTCCTAATTTTCAAGCTTGCGTACCGTACCACGTTGTCGTCCACTCATTGACATGCTAATTTTTTCTCTGCCTCCTCCCTCTCTCCGCCCCCGCCCCCCCCCCTCTCTCTATTTAAGGCCTCGTCACAGAGACGATCTCTCTCTTTGTACCGATGCGTGTTCTCTCTCTCTGTGTATCTTGGTGATATCTGTCTGCTTATATGTCTGTCTACAGTTTTCTGGTTAGATTTTTTGTTGCTATTTCATTTGTACCTGATGATGATTGTGTTGCAATCGAAACGTCGTATGCTATTACTTAATTTATTATTTTATCTTTATACGTGACTTGACCGAAAGAACCAAAGAATAGCTTACAAGTGCCTATTCCATCCAAGAGCCACACCGACTCAAATACAAGTTTTTTTCCTCAGCGTCCCGCATTTTAGTTTTAATTCTTAAGATGTAATAACAGCTGTGCTTATTGTTGTTACTAGCGGTTAGTACCCGGCGTTGCCCGGGTCGAAAAAGGCAGACAACACATGTAGTTACACACGCAAATCGACTGATACACGCACACACAGAGTTACACACACAAATGGACTCACACATA